CATCTTTATGGATATATCTGGTGACAGGGGTGAGGTGGAAGCAGAAGGCAAATCAGATAGACTGGTGTTTGGAGGGTGGATGATTTTACAAGGGGGATGAGATATACTCTGCAGCTTTTGGGTCACAGGCAGTCTGCAGCTGAATTTCTTATGCCTTCAGACTGATGTCAGAAATTCTCTGTGAATGTCCAGCATAGAGCAACCTCCCTTTTTCTCAGGCAGATGCTGGTAGAGAGAGGGGAGGGAAAAAGAGAAAGGAGATGATGTTAGAAAAAAAGAGGGAAAGAGAGACAAGATGGGGGGCCCTACGTACTTTGGGCTCTGTCCCACTGGCTGCCGCAGCCTTACCTCACCCTTGGTGTGCAAATCTCAGAAAATCGGGCCTCAATCATAAAAGGGGCTGCCTTTTACCACAGATGTAAGGTAGCATCCTGTTCAAATGTGCACTCCTTCCTCTATCCAGGGCGAAGAGCTCTTTTTGAATCATGTAGCAACAAACTGCATCTAATGGACTGATTTCTGCACATATGCTTATGGTCAGCCCACTTGCATTCTTTTCAGTCATTAGTATTTCTGATCATTGGAGGGACAAAGTCACCATCTGCTGTCTAGTTCTGGAATTGGCTTAAATGTATACTTGATCTTACAATACTTCTTGACATTTGCTCAACTCAGGTCAGTCTATTTGGCCCAGATGCTATTTCTGCTTCTGAAGTTTCAAAATATTTTGAAGTTATGGAGGAATTAATGGTGGCTCCTAAACCAGTAACCCTTTTTTACATGAAGTTGAAGAAAGCTGACAAAATTGATATGATTTTGTGCAAACTTGGAATAATGAGCTGGAATGTCTTGTCCTGGTAAAACAGTGGAAGGTTGATTTAAATAATATGGAACCAGTTTCCTGTTATCTTAAAATGAGGTTAATCTAAAAAAATGTTGGCACAATTATATAGGATATCTCAGAGAATGATATCAATAATAATGTTGGTGATGCATTTAGGAATTGGAATATACTGTAAACCCACATAGTTTGAATTTGTCCTGTTGCTGCCTGTGGACTGAAATCAACAGAATTGTTAATGTGACTCTGGATCAATTCCTATGTATTAAAGATATAGATGTTCTTGGCTATATCTGGACCATCTGGAATCTATGAAGACATCAAGAACTGTGGATATTTCAGATAGGGGGACTGGCTGAAATATCAGAGAACACAAGATTTGCAGCAATGATTGTTGGTGTGTTGAATTTCAATTAGCTTATTTTTCTTCTGACAAAGGGCAATGAAGACATCTTTCGGACAATACAGTCAGTTTTTTAGAGTTATAATTTCCCAGGTGCTTTTAAAATTTATTATTTTTGCTGTTGCTTCTACTGCTGATTTTAAGGTTACATTATACTGTTAATAGAGCTATATTATTCTACTTCATTTGTTAGTTTGATAGAATAAACAAGTAAAATAAAACAGATAAAAGTTCTAGAATTGGTAGTGTGAAGAACTGCATCCATATATTTTGTTGTTGTTAAATTTAACAACTGGTTTATTCACAGCAAATAGGGGCAATCCTTTATTATTTTCTTTGTAGTGTCAAATACAAATGAAGAAATGTTTTAAAACATCAGCAAACAAATCCTGCTGACTCTTTAGACAGTTTTTACTCCTCTTGCCCAGAAATGAAAAATTAACCTTTGGTTTGAAAGCAGTGATGAAATAGATAACTTTTGTCTTACACATAAGCAATAAAAGGAGCACCATTTTATATAATTCTCCAAAGCTGGGGTATAGTGTTATGACCCTTGCAGATACTTTGCATAAAAGTCAGTAGCCACATGCTTAATTAACAAAACTTTTTCTGGATTCACACAAGGTATTGATAAGAAAACTAACCAAATTGATTGCTTTCATAGAACAGGTTGAATCACGTGAATAATTTAATGCAAATGAAGCCACTGGTATTCAGCTGATCTGGCTAAACACATTGTGAGACACAGGTAGTCCTTGTTTAGCAACTGCCTTGGACAGCAGCCATTCAGAGTTACAACGGTGATGAAAAAGAAGCTTTGCAACCAATGTCCACATTTATGACCTTCCCAGCATCTCTCAGCCATGTGTTTGCTGTTAGTTAGCAAGTCTTGTCTTGTGCCTGACTCTCTGCTCCCCCTGCAAGCCTAAACAAGCTATCTCTTCCTGAGCTGTTTTTCTCAGCAGCCCAGTGCTTCTCCAAAAGGTGTTAACCACAAGTTAACAAGCTCAGCTCTGTGACCTTAATTAATTGACTAGAACCCTCTGGCAGCTCACACTATCTGAAACTGAGAAGACCCTAATCAGTTCCACACTGAAGGCTTTTGTTTGCCTTTTAAGCAGCTCAGTGAGTGTGCTAGGCAAACAGCAGGTGCTAGCGCATTTCTTTCAATGTGTATTCCCCATTGTGTGCCAGCTTATTCTCTTATAATCCCTTCCTCTCCAATGAATGTAAATACAAACATCAATTCTCTTCTTGCTAATTATCCCAGGGTGAGTGTTCCAAAGGGTGGAGGAGTGGGGATAAAGGGCTCTAAAGTTTGCTCTTTTACTTGGTTTCTCATGAGTAGAGTTCCAGAAACCTTCCTTGCCTTTGAAGTCATATACTTTGTGAGGCAAAGGAAAGCTGAAGTAAAACTGTAAGCACAGTCGCAGTAATATTTTTCACTTACTGACCACTTAATGACTTTCTGCCCCCAGTTATGGTTGCTAAATGATGTCTACTGTACTATGCTCTAGTACACATATTTGAGCTTCTCAAGAGTTTCTGAAATTTAGGTCAGGTGAAGGAGACATGGTTTTGTAGCCATAAGTAGCTGATATGTATAAACTGCAGGTCCCCCTCTTCCCATTCCCTAGCAATCTTTGGATAGGACAATGCCTGAAACTAAGAGGACCCGAGTTTCTAAGAGCATGTTTCATTCTGTACAATTATTCACTGCTCTTCCTTTGGACTTTTTTGGGATGAAGTCCCTAGTCCCACAAATGAATAATTTTGTAGAAAAGGAGGTTACAACTGGAAACCTATCATCCTAATTGGTGCTCTTGTGGGAATACAGGAGCAGAGTTAACTTCTGTATATAATCCTCTGACGACAATAAATAATTTATCTGATCTGAAAAAGCTAAGCAGTGTCAAAACTGAGCAGTACTCAAATGGAAGACTATTAGGAAATACCAGGGCTGTAAGAAAAAAAGAAAAAAAAGAATGTTACTAAGAAAATTACCTGGATGTTTTTACAAAATCAGCAGGAATCATCACTTAATGTCTCTGGACTTGCCACTCTGTCAGCTGAACCAATTATGCAGGGCTGATGTGAAGATCCAATGAGGAAGAGGGCAAAAGAAAGTATGGTCTGGCATCCTGAAGACTTATGTTTGGGTTTAATTCTACTCCATTGCAAGTGATTAGAACAGCTTTCCCTAACCCTGGGTCTCCTGAATTACAGTGAATTACAATTCCCATCATCTCCATTGAGCAATCAATAGTAGTCTTTTCAAACCAGGGCTGCCAAATTGTGTTCTATTATAGTTCCCGTTGTCTCCATTCAGCCTGACCATGGGAGAAGGAAGCTACTTTACTCTTTGGCTTTGCAGAAAGCAGCATGAATCAGATCATACCCCATAGTCAGGAGCAAAGCTTGAAAGATATATTGAGAGAAATATATTTCTCACTGTCCATAGTCAATTTTCAAATTGTATGATTCTATTTGACTGGAGATTCAAAACAATGTAAGAGCCAGACCTACCATTAAGGAAAGTGAGAGTTGCCTTCAATTTGTCCCTGAGCCTTCCTCCCAGCCATTTCTATCCTGAGCTGGAATGGGTTAGTTTTAGTCCTTTCACAGATGGGACCACTAAGATTAAGGCTCTTCCAGAGGCATCCCCACACATGGGGTAACAAAGATAAAATATATTCCATTGGATGGAATATTCTCCATAAAGGTTTGCCACTGGTTGTTTGCTTACTTCTCTCTCTGCTCTATAAAGGTAATCAAGATACATTTTTTAAATTTAGTTTATTTCCAACCCAACAGAATGTTGGATAGGAATTGGGTAAAGGGACTCAGGATGATGTCCATCAATAAGATACATGTGGAGTACTTGGTGCTGAGTTTGGTTGCTTGCTCGCAGACATTTCATTACCCAACTAGGTATCATCAGTGCTAGTGAGTGTGGGTACCCCACCTAGTTATGAAACGCCTGCAAGCAAACCACCACACTCAGAGAGCACCAAGGACTCCACAGTTCAAACTTCAGCTACATACATTCTCTTCTATTGGAATAGGATAAATTCCAAATACTGAGAACAGGACTAGATTTGGTGTGGATAGAGAAGCTGGCAAAATAGTGAGTTAGAATGTGGGCCAGATTAAATCGCTTACCACCCTAAGCTGTGGTGTTGCCCCATCAAGCATAGTTAAAGCATGATGCAGTTTCCAGTCCAGCAGTACCATACATGGAATGTGGAATGTGTGTGAAATGCTACTATTCTTTGCATTAGACAGTAAAATGACTTGGGGTTGCTTGGTTAATGCTGCCTATAGTATTTTAACACAGTATATAAGGCTGGTTTAGATACCATTTGCATGGACCCAAACTGTTATGTCTGAAGGAATGGTCTTATGATTTGAAATGTAAGATGTTGGTCTAGGACTGCGGAGACCTAGATTCAAGGCCCCTTGCAGCTGCGAAAACTCACTTCTCTTTACCCTTCCCCGGGCTGATAGAAATATAAGAAAAATATACTGTAAATATTCAGTTGTAATGACAATTTATTATGCAATTCTGGCACTTTTATCTTCATTCCACCAGATTAATTCCTTAGCTGAACCAAAGGTGAGAGTAAGATACATATCAGAATTAGCATTAGAAGAATTTCCAGGATTCCAAAATTTCAAGACATGTCATAAAGAAAAGGCCACTAAGAAAGACCAAGAATTCTATAAGCAAAAGTTGGTTAAAAAAGTTGGCTTGACTAATGTATCAAGTAAACAGGTCACGGCTATAAAAAATATAAACAGTTGGACAACCTGAGATCAAAAGAGTAAGCAAACATTTCACTGAGTTTCTTTAAATTTACCAAAAAAATGCTCACCAAAGGTCATGATCCTCTGAAGCCTTCAGACTCCATTCTATAGATTAGTATATGCTGATGCCTGAGGCATCAAGTGATTACCTCTATATATGAATGTACCCCCACGTATCAATTATCACAGGCTTTTCCCCCACTCACTCTCTGAGGCCTAGCACTCTCAAATGACTCCTACAATTGGTTGACAATCATCAAAAGATAAGTGATCAAGATGATATAAAATATTAAGCATGAAGGAGTAACCATGTCATGAAGTGAATATGTGTGTGTGTGTATACACACAGAGAAAAAGGAATAGAATGGATATGACATCAGTATTACTGGAGGATGCAATTTTCATTGTTATTTGGTAAGAACAGCTCTCATTACAAGCAGAAAAGTAGGACAGCAGACAAAAAACAGATCTATAATGTGCCACATTACAGTATAGGTCTTCCTTGCCCCACTGGCTAGATTTTCTTAAGTGGGGAAGATCTTGCCAGCTGCAGTCTGAAATGACATCCAAGTTGGTTTGAAAACTATCTTTTTGTTCTGTTACATGAGAGTAAACAGCTTTTCTTGGAGTGAGGATCACAATTAGCCTTTTGAGTAGCATGTCAAAATTGAGTGTAGTTAGGAGAAAATCTAATTTTAATTTAATACAGTTGACAGAATTATTTTCTACTATTGGAATATCTGACAGAATTATTCCTAATGTGTTTAAGAGTTTTTGCCTCGTCATGTTTAAAATACAGTTTAATGATAACTTTTCAAGCAACTCCGGGTATTGGCTGATTATGGCTTGCAGTCAGATTGTGTGCACTTATCTATGTAGAGGAGCTGGGGATTCTTTGTACATCTGGAGTGCGAATGGGTTGCTTCTCAATATTTGAGGGCAGATAAATAAAGTTTAATTTTAGAGCTATAACACTATGTTTGGATGACTTTATGAATCTGTTCATGCCTTCTCAGAGTTCCCGAGTCTGTAAAGGACACATTGCAATAAGGGCAACAATAAGGTTTCTCTCCAGTATGTATACGTTGATGGCGCTGTAATGAACCTAAACGTGTAAATGTGCTGTTACACCTTTCACAGGAGAAAGGACGCTCTCCAGTATGTGTCAAATTATGCCTTTTTAATCTAGCCAGTTGGACAAAGGCCATGCCACATTCCTTGCATTTGTATGGCTTTTCTTGTCGATGTATCACTTTGTGTTTGGAAAGCAAGTTAGATTTGCTGAAAGATTTGTTACATACTGGGCAGAGATATTGCTTTGAACTTTCTTTTCCAAGATTGCTGACAGCAGAGCCCAACTGTTTAGGATTCCGTTTATTATCCTGATTTTTCTTCAGCGTGCACCATTGATTCCGTATGTTTGCATTTCCCAAAACGACACTGGAGCGCTCTATTTTGTGAAAGCTGCGGAGATGTCTCCAAACATCAGCAGTGCGAATGAAACCCTTGTTACATATTGGACACTTGTGTGGTCTCTCTTTAGTATGGGTCAATTTGTGCATTCGCAGATTAGCTGCCCGAAAAAACTCCTTGCCACAAAGGGGGCACCGATATGAATTCCCAGCCATGTGTAGCTTCCTGTGTTCTTGAAGCCTGGTAAGATCTTGGAAAGATTTCCGACATTTTTTGTAACGACAAGGTAAAGTTTTCCCCAACTGAGGTGATATATTCTCATCCTCATTTGAGTCAACAAGAATAATAAAATTCTCCTCTTCTTCTCTTTGTCCTTGAAGATCCTTAGAACGTTCAAAACACTGATGTTCCAGATCTTTACCTTCAGAAGTTGGATTATAAATTATCCTAACAGGAACATATACCCCAGGTGTAGATGGATTTTGCTGTCGCCAATAAGTTGAAGTTTTGGGAAATACTGTTGAAAATATTTGTTCTTGTCCACACAGTGGTTTTGCAGAAAAACCCACATGACAGGAAGGTATATCAGGACAGGAAGGTGTCAGATTGTCTTCCTTTATCTTGAGTTGAGGACTGGCTTTATGACCTATCCAATCAGAAATGCTGTTGAAATCACTCAGTTGATCTCCCCTGAAGTTACAGCCATCACCTTCAGATCTACCGTCTAGTTGCATCTCCATCATGTGATCTTGATAGCTTTTGTCTGCAATCTTCACAATGTCATTGCTATCCCTATGAAGAGAGTAGAAATGGATTCACTAGTAGAAACTCCAATTTCATCTCAAGTCAAAGGATAATATCCTAATAAAGATTCCATTGTAAAATAAGAGCAAAATGCTAACAAAAGTGAATTTTAAATAAATTTAAACTGGTTTCAGTGAATTGAATGGAATAATTGCAAACATACTCTATACACCACTGTTAGATTTGTATAATGTGGCAATCCATCTTTGATTTGGATAAGACATAATTAGGGATATTTGGTCATCCAGATTCACTTAGGCACATTTAATTCTCCTTGATGTCAGTGAAAGAATTAAGCACACACTTGATTTGGTCAAATTTACAGTACTGAAAATTGAGAGTGCTTAACTGTGGCTGATTTGCATCCGCAAAATGTAAGTAAAAACATTTCTTTACAAAAAGCTTATCCATTCTATTCATACATTATTCCATTGTGTCCCTCAACTTTTTCAATTTAATGTCATATTTTCCTCTAGTTAACTATTTATAATTGTTGGAAATCTATCAAACTGCCTTCAAAGAAAAAAAGGAAATGTGATCTTATGATCACGTCTGTATCAAAAGTACACTCAGCTCTGTATTGTTAAAAAATTTGGAGATCCGCTAGCTTTATATTATCTGAAATAAGTATCTAAATTAACCATACAACTTAATAAAAATGTGTGTGTGTGTGTGTGTGTGTATTTCAAAGATATAGTCACTCTAGTGACTTGAAAGATGCCACACCAGACCTTGAATAGGCAACATTCCTATCACAGATGATGTTCAATCACATCTAACTATAATATTCCTTAGTTCATTGTTAATTCTTATCCATAAACCATGTTTACAGTCACAAGTGCTGGTTTGCAGCATTAACGTATGCCTAATAAAGTTACAACTTTTGCTTTAACAGCATAAGCAATCACACTGAGAAAAGGATTATGAATTACCAGGTGAATAAATTCATCTGATATTATTCTGGGTAAATAAATATTTCCTTTTATGTTGCAACAGCCCATGGCCACAAGACAATTAAACTCAATCTTGCATTCAGGTTTTAACAGAAGTATTTCTCCCTATTTAACTTCGACAGGCATAGGGTCTACTGCATTAAATTATTAGCCAAAGGTACCTACTTTATTTGATAAAGATATAGATAATATTGCAAATGGCTATTGTAATGTAAAAATACAGGGAAAGACCAGAAGCTTCTCATCCATGTTACATCTCTGCCACCAAGAGTTTTGGAACACACATACACACACAATTTCACAACTCCATTACAAAGTGGGGATAATAAAGCTGATCCACCTTACAGAATTTGAATTAGTTAAAATGTACACGAAGTGCTGAAAAAATTAATTGTACTAAATTAATTATATCTATTTTCTGTGTTTTTAGAAAGAGGACAAGCTTGTGAGATAAATACCAAGCTGTACAAACATTTCTATGGGTAGGGCTCGTCTGCAGAGGTTTGCAATGGTGCTGTGCTACACATTTTTGGTATTTTGTTGAGCTGAGCAGTCCCATTCTTTGTGTTGGACAAGGGGCAGGACTTCTGTCCAAATGCATTATGGAAAACCTTGTATTAGTATAGGACCATTTAGCCAGCATCTCATCTATCCACACTTCCACTGAAGCTTCACAGAGCTGAATTTGGTTTTGTAGTTCAAATATCATGCTTTCTCCCAGAGAATCTTGAATGTTGTTTGAGGTGCAGCAAATTTGCACTACAGAGCCTTATGACACTTTTCACAAAACTGCAATACACAGAATTCTATAGAAATAAAGAACATGTAAACATTGGTTCAAAATGTGCATATATACTCATAGTAATAGGTACATAAAACTTTGACAGGTTTTATAGAAAATCCACTGCTATACTTTTAGCTGCTGGAGGAGGTAAATGTGAAATAGGGTGTTACTGAATAGAATCACAGTTCATATAAACTTATGGACAGCAAGAAGTAACATACTACTGCAAAATCCAAACAGATCTAGTACCTTAGCACCAGTGGTCACTTTGACAAGCTATATAGTTTTTATCAGTGCAGGTATAATGTTCTGTGTAGTCAAAACTAAAAAGAAAAGTCTCCTATGAGTTGACTTCAACAGCTAATGACTTCATGGGGAGATCCACACACAGTTTTCCTGGCAACACTACAGAGGTAGTTTGCCACTCTCTGCTTCCGGTATATTTTTCAACTTCCTAACCTAGCCTTAGGATTCCCTGCTAATCTCCCATCCAAGTACTAGCTAGTCCAACCCTACTTAGCTTCCAAGTCCAGGCAAAGTCTAAATATGGCAAGTATATTGTGTCTACTGTAGTATATTATGCCTGCTCTGATAAAAAAAAAACACAAGTAGACTGTGACTATAGAGTTGGAAAAAGCCATTTAGTCAATGAAGTTCACCCATTAGTGCAGGATTCCAAATCAAAGCACGTATGATAAAAGTTTATCTAGTTTCCACTAGATAATTGATTCTACTGCCAACCTGCTCTTACTGTTGGGAAGTCCCCCCCCCCCCCCCCCC